TTCTGTGCGCTTTGTGTTGGCCATCGGCCAGTGGCCACTTGGGAATCTTAGCTGACCGCTCAGGAGTCTTCGTTTGATCTTGATGTTGTATTGCATTTGTCGATATTAATATGCAATTAGATCGTGCCCGCTACGAGAACCTTTCAAACTGTGTTTTGCCCTATCTCGTTGCACAGTTATTATTATTACTACCAAGTTCATAGGTTGCGTTCTGGCCTGTCGGGCAGACAGGGCCAAGCAACATCTAATAATGGGTGCTGGTTGTGTAAGCTGCATGCTGTTAGCAGCAGCTGCTGTTGCCGCTGCAGTTGCTGCTGCTGTCGCTGTTGTTATCGCGGCTGCTGTTTTTGTTGTTGTTGCTGTTGCTGCTGCTGCTGATGCTACTGCTGCTGCTGTTACTGCTGCTACTGCTGCTGCTGCTGTTACTGCTGCTACTGCTGCTGCTGTTACTGCTGCTACTGCTGCTGCTGCTGCTGCTACTGCTGCTGCTGCTGCTGTTGCTGTTGCTGTTGCTGCTGTTATTGCTGAGCGGGTAGCGCGTTACTATTGGGTTGTTCAGCATTATAACCATCGGGTTAGCGTAAATTTTGAAGCCTATGGAAAGTAAGTAGTAGTGAGCGTTTTCGACTCTTCCCTGAAGTTTTTTTTTTGAAAGTAGTATCAGCATACTGGGGCTAGTACAAAACAAAACAACGACTCGACATGGCATCTTGTTAAAAAGTCATTTTCTACCAGAATAGTTACTGTGGACGTATGGTTAGAAAATATGGTTTTAGTGGAGGACTCGGAGATAACTATGGAAGTGTTGAGGTCAAGAACTACGGAAATGCTCTGTCATTTCAATAATAGGCAAGAGTGTCTTGCTTTCCTGTTTAGCATGAGTTCATGTGAAAGTGGACAAGTGCGAAAGGAAGCACCCGCTTTTGCAGGTAATATTTAAAGGATTTTTCCCTTTCCCAGCTAATTTTTTGAAATGATTTTGCTTAAACAAAAGTTGTGAAAAAAAAATCCTGAAGAAGAGATAAATTAATTAAGCACAAAAGTGCGTTCGATTAATTTGCTTTTGCTTTCCGAGAAGCCGTACAAGGCACCCATTCCCATTTCTGCTTTATCCTCCCATCATGTAAAACTCCTTTGTCGAGGAGCCTCATTCGTGGAAATTTCCCGAGTCTAATGGATTAACCGTTCCAAGATTATTCTGGAATACATCCACTTTCTCTGCGTCTTTTGCGTAGCAGTTTTGTAAACTTTCAATAACTTAAGACTCAAAAAAAATAGTTCCTAAGATCATGAAATTGCTTTGAAAGTACTGTTTTTAATAATATAACCCAAAACCACTGCACGCTTTTTGAAACAGAGCCACAGCCCTTGTGCGCTATTCGCAAAGCTCGCATATATTTGCCTAAATTGAACTTACCGAAAATCAACTAATTCATTTCAGTTAGAAATTTCTAGCATGCATCATTGATTTAGCGCAGCAACGCATTAAGCTGCGATCATGTATGTTCTTTCCTGGCTGCATGTATTTTTAACCGTGTATTTTAATTTCCGAATTAGAAGTTAATGAATTTCGTCTATCCCGATCGGATAGACGAAACGAAGAACTTTTAGGTCGCTTTTTCTTATATTTTTTTGCTTTAGGCAAGAATTCAGAAAAACTTTATATTTTAAAAACAAAAGAAAATATAAGCTGGGGAATTTTAGGGTCAACCCACGCCCAAGGCCAACTATACCTAATCCTGTCGGCTGTTTTTATGTGCTTTTACAAAAGTAGTGATGAAGATTTTTTGTGAGACTTGTGTTTGTTTATAAATGTGTGATTGTCTGGCCGCAGATCTAGCTCCAGAACTACAGCTATAAAAGCTAGAAAACTGAAATTTGGGAATACTATCTTTAGTCATGTGTGGATCCATAAACACCACGCGAACTTTTATGCCCTTCTGCGTGATGCAGAAAAAATGAAAAATTTTTCCTCAAGGTTTGGCGAATGCAGTATGTGATCCGTGGCGAGGTGAAAAGAATTTTCAAATGGTTTTATGCGTTTTTTGCAGCTATGGAATATAGAAAGCGCATATTGACGAGAGGTTGTCTGTTTGTGTGTGTGTCTGCGTGTCTATGCGTGTGCTGCGCATCTGTACCGATTTTTTATCCCGAGATCCACGAAAGCTGCGGGGCTGAAACTTGGGGATCTTGTTCTACCTGCGCGTACGGGCTCCCATCTCCGAAATGGATGCTGTTACGCGGGTGGTATTCAGATACAGGCCGCCGAAATTTTTTTCGGGTAAGTTGTTGACTCGAAAACCTGAAAAGCTAGAAGACTGAAATTTTGAGGGGATGTTTCCCGTCCAAGTAGGTATCAATGATTTCAAACTCAGCTCTCAGGTATGCAAGGTACCCACGTACGGGCCCGTGGAGATTTTTCACGGGCAACTCGCTAATTTGAAAAGATAGAAAGCTGAAATTTTACGGGGCCGTTCCCTGTTCGCGCAAATCTTAATGAGCTTCATACCAGTTCTCGGGTACGCGTGGTATCCACGCACGGGCGCGGCAAATTTTTTTTCGAATAAGTTGCTAAATCAGGAGCAAAGAAAGCTAGAAAGCTGAAATTTTAAGGGGAACATCATTTTTTTTCCTCACTGCAAACGTCATTATTTGCAAGCGTCGTTATTAGCCGTACCGGTCTTATAGAGTACGTCGCTGTTTATTCAAACACAAGAATACCAAGACCATGCGGACAACTGGCATGGAGCTCCATGTCATTGGTATTACTGGGATGCTCCCACACGCCGGGCGTAGCTATGCCCGCTTTTCGATCCAGGGCACAAACTTGCACTTTGTTCAATAAAGTACCGAGTATTACACCAACTTTTATCCAACTAATGCTTCGCTCCAAGCATAAATTATGTAAAAATAACTTTTGCATTTAGGTTAAATGAGTCTGCACATTTGCATCAAGCATTAATAATACATTTAATTAGAATTCTCGACTTTCGAATCTCTAAAAGCAGTGCAGCAGCCGAGTGCGCTTTTCAGCCAAACAGCAATTATTGATGTTGTCAGCTAGCTGTAGCGGACCAAGTAGTACTTGCCCTACAGCACTACTGCCGCTTAAGCCTCGTTCCCATTTCTTCCTGTTCCGTTGTTTTCCTTTTACAAAGCTTTTTCCATATCCATTTTCACCCGTCCCTGCAAGCCTCTCCACTGCTCCTACAGCTTCATAATAACGTTTCCCATTCTCATAAATGCTTTTTCATTATTCTCTGTCTATTAAAATTTAGTATTGTTGAACTCTATCGTAAATTTCATTTCATCTGCTTTGAGTTACAGAATCCGAGCGCGTGCATCGCTAATGAATGATCTTTTAGTCCAACTGTTGAAGTTTGTTTGAAGCTTGAAGCAGGTAAATGAATATTTTTGAAGGCTTGCTATTCGATTACCTGAGTATT